GAGCTGCTCCACTCGAGTAATAATCAAACATTTAATTCTGGAGAACCATCATCATGCATGCCTAATTTACATAAACTGGATGGTTCAAGCGGTCAAGTTTAAAACTTAGAGGTTTCATGCTTAGTTAGTTGATTTACTGGTCAGTTGACAAATTCAGAAATGAAATTGGATATGGCTTACCTGTAGTGTGATCTCTTTTTCCCGTTGCAGACTGGCTGATCGACATCAACTGGACAACACAGATTGGGAATGTGTTGCTTACAGATTTGAGTCTGTATACAGCCTATCTTAAGGATGATGGAAGGATGACTGGGTAATTGCTACGCTTCGGTCATGTACATGGCAGTTTAGTATCTTCAGTAATCTTCTTGCACGGTGGCGAGGAGCTCCGATTTTGTTGTTCCTCCCATTCCAACAGATTCAGATGTCACTCCGACAGCCTTAGGTACCTGTGTAGATAAGTAACATATTTCGTTTTCCATTTTCTGTTTCGAAGGGGGCTTGGTGTGGGAAGTCTACATTTATTTTGGGTCTGGGGTAGGTGCTAATTCGTTCATGCTTTAGAATTTGATTAATTACCTGTGGTTACCGGTTGGCATCAGATCAACACTTTAATCAGCTTATAATGCTATACTTGATCTGATAATTTATTTTGAAAATGGAGAACTTGGTCGCCATTTCAAAATTTTTGTCCTACCACTATTTATTTCTCCTATTTGACTAGAACAGCTGCTTTGAATCATGTGCGAGTTCATGAAATCTGGGGACTTACTACATGAACATTTCCATTAGCCTGAACTAATAATGTTAGCTACCCCAATCAACGGTTTGTTTGTTTTTTTATTTTTGGGGGGGGGGGGGTGGGGGGTTGCGGTGTACAAGGTGGCAAGTACATTTCAATTAGCTAATGCAACTTGGAAGTACCTTATGTTCTGACATTAACTGTATCAGCAATTAAGATCCGCCCGTTGACTACTTTATCGATGTGAACTGTGGAAGTGTGTTTTTATTTATTATGTTGTAAAATTAGAAGACCTCTCATAAATAATGCTCTCGGTGGTCGGCATTTTGTTAACATATTCTGATCAAAATAGTTATTAAAGAGTGATCATAAATGGCTACGAGTGGTAGAAGATGTTTCATAATGTTTGATGGTGGCATTGGTGGCACTGGGTTAGCATTTTTGTCATCAAAGCAGTATAAATTAAAAGGCGATTTGGGTGGTTTGCCTCAAGGATATTTGCAGTTTTCTAACAACTTTTTGAGTCGAGTTGTATCTCTTATACATACTAAGGCAGGGGGAATCTGGTAGTCCTGCGCATTTCCATGTACGTAATGGAAAACGACAGAGGTTTATTTGATTTACTTTTTTAAAAATGGTTATCTCACAAGTTTAATATCTTAAATGATGCTTGTGTGACAGAGGATTCAGTTTGAAAGCAAATGAAAGAGCAGGAGAAAACACATTACGCACTATCCGATGCATGATAGCGAAATCCGAAGTTAATTTTCGACCCAATAATCCGATTTTGCGTGCTCTTTGTTCTTTCCATTTATCAGTCTCACCCAACAAGATACGACTCAACCAAACAAAATAAGCACCTACGGCTAGCGCAAACCTAGTTTATTTCTTTTTCTTATCTTTGTTCCTATAACTGTATGGTTCACCAGCACCTTAGGTGTAGGAATCCTCAACAACTTCCACATATATGGACATAGTAGCTAAGGAATGATGTATTTCTGCAGCTAGAGTAGCCTGTCTGAGAAGTTCATGTTATACTTCAGAAAAACGATTTATTGTTGTTCTCGTAGCAGACAGAATATAACAACTTAACGATAAGATAATAATAAACTTGTTGGGAAAAAGTCAAGCATTTCCATATCATTTTATTTTTACTCTAACACTGTGGTTTGTGATTAGTACAAGCGATTTCTCTTGATTTTTTACTTTTTTCCATAACATAAGATGAATGGGAAGAGACATGGGCGGAGCTAAGGGTGCAAGGAGGTTTAACCAAATCTCCTTCTTCCGAAAATTTTGAATCCTCTTGACTTCTACGTAAATTTATTACTTTATATTTTAAATCTCTTAATAAAAATTCTGGCTCCGCATGAAGAGAGACAGGTGAAACGAATCCGCGCTTATATACTGCGGAAGAGTTTCACTTCTAAGCTATAAGCGTCGGTAAAATAATAGATTTTAAGTATGGGTAAATTGATATAGTAACAAAAAGGGCATTTTGTGTGGTCAGAGTTGCTTCTGATTATACCAATTATTAAATCTAAAAATGATTTGTTAGTTGAGCAATGTTATGAACAAATACAGTTGTTGGAAATCGAATATATTAAGCAGGCAAATTATAGCAGTGGGGTTGGTGATTGCAGTTTTGATTCTGCTGATTTATGATCCATAGTTTAATTATGTGTATGTGTTTTGCTCTACCAATCAAATAAAAGTATAATTAACGTAAAAGTCAAATCTTGGCTTTCATAACACGACAAAATAAGTGAGGGCTGATAATTGAGTAATGGATATAACGGAATATTGGAGAAAGCAAACTCATTCAATACCCCAAAATTAATAAATAAAAAACCATGATTTCCTTAATCCTTTTTTGCTTATGCGATTAAATCTTGTAAGCACAAGAGTAAGACAAAGTAATAAGATCGATCTCAAGTAATACTTAATGCTGCATGGGTCAAATTTGTTTCATCCTTGACCATGTCCAGCTACAAGTGGATATATAATATATTGGTAGAGAATTTTAATCACAATTATTCAAATTATAAATGTGTAAGACTTTAAGTAGTAGTATTCTCATTAGGGGTGTACAAACCGAACAGGAAAATTGCACCAAACTGATTAAAAAACCCGACTAGGTTTGTTTGATCTGGTTTGGTATTGAGTAAAAAAACTCAAACCAAACCGACATATAAATATATAATTTTTTATATATATTTTTATGATTTTATATAGAATTTCCTATAAAAAATATCTAGAAAAATTTGGATTCTCTTACGGGATATAATATTTAAAAGAATATGAAATGCTCCATATCTATTAACCTCAAATAATGGGTTGTATGGCCACTTTCTTATCAAGTGTTATTGAAATGCGTTAATTTATTTGTTCTTCCATATTCATATGTCAAGATCTACTAAATTCTTATATCTTTTCGAATTTGAAGTGGTTATTATTATTTAGGTATCATATTGATTTTTATGTTTAATTACTAAATTCAGTTAACCTTGAAAGTGTACATCAACGAAAAGTTATTGTCAGACTACTAAAAAAATAACTATCATGTGTTACTAAGAAAATTCCCCCATAAGAAATTTTAATAGATAATATATTTTTCGGTTTTTAAAATTTTTATTAAACATATATTTACTTATAAAAATTTTAGCAAAGTAAGATTGAAATAATATTTAAGTAACAAAAATACCCAAAAAACCGACAAAACCGAACCAATCCAAACCGATATAGTTGGTTTAGTTTGATTTTGATAAAACCCGAACAAATCCGGTCCGTGTACACCCCTAGTTCTCATCTCAACAATGGTTGTCCAGTTAGACTTGTCGTATCCAGTTTCAATTTAATTCATGAGATAAGCTATATGAATAAGTTGGATCCACTTAACTCGAATATATTGATATAGCTGTATGGGTCAAAATTAAGTCTAGCTTAGCGAATGCATACGGATGAGCTGAGGCCGAGGTCGAAACCCTGTATGGTCTAGTTGCGAGGAGTCGCTCGAAGGGAAAGACCCATGCCGAGGTCGTGTAGAGAGCAACGGTTGTAATTGTTAGAATGTTCCTGTTAATGTGAATAGGAATATTCTATTGAATATTCCCCCATATTGTACCTTTCTAGGGTTTTCTAGATATCCCTTATAAATAGAAAGAGAGAAGAAATAAAGAGGGGATTCGGAATCTTTGCAAGAAAAACATCTTGTAAAGAGTTGACTATCTGAGATACACAAAAGGTTGTTTTGTCTCTCTTGTTTGATTCCACCATATAACATTCTTCTTTAGCTCACAAGATCCAAGAGTGCATAAAACACCTCTCTTGCCTGCTGTCACGTATTGTAGTCACAGGAAGGAATCATCCATCTCATACAACCTTTGGGTGACAAATTCCTTCTCATTACATTTAAGGCCATTTATCACATTTATTGCATGTTTCTATCCTCGTATTGACTGTTAGTCATAGAGTATTAATTCAGCATTTGTCAACGTGAACACGGACTCGTACCGCTTAGGTTAATTAATTTCAGATCTAGAATTTATTACTTTTAACTTAGATTCATCCTTCATCTCTTTATTAATTGATCTAACTAAAAGGGTTCAAACTTTTTAGACAAACAATTTGGCGCCGTCTGTGGGGAGATTCTAGTTAAAAAGTTTAGTTTTTTCTAGATCTAGAAAAAAGAAGCTCTTTTTCCTTTTCTCGTTTGCACAAGCTAACAATGACAGGAAAAGGAGAGGAAAGACTGAAAACAATGATGGGTGTCACTACCAATCTCCTGGGCACCATCAATGAGATGGACAGGGAAGGCGAGGAGGATGCGACGCCGAGCGCCTCACCCAGGCAAAGCGATTCACCCCCTCCTCGTGGGAGTGTAATCGCTTCACATGAGAAGGGGGCCTCCACGTCCACAACGGAAGAAGCACCGCCCGCAGTGATAAAGTTATTGGAGACGTGGCTGACAAGCACCCTAAGCAATATACTCGACAAACCCGCTCAAGGGGCAGGTAGGAACACCGTGCGAGTTGACACCCCAATAACCATCAACGAGCAACACGCTCCTCCCCCAACAGGTAACCCTTACACCGTTGTTGATGCAGGAAATGATGCCCTCGTAGTTGTTCTAAAGAAAATGGAAAAAATGGAGAATGAGAATAAAGCGCTCCACGACCAAATGAGGGAACATTAAGAAAGAGTTGATAAGATACCAGGCGCCCCGAAACTCCTACCAAAATGGGACGTCGGCATGTTCATGGAACAGCCGTACAGCGAAGAGGCAGCCCCACATGCCATACCTAAAACTTTCAAAATACCACCATACCTGAAAATATGCGACGGCACAGCAGACCCTGAAGACCATATCATCCATTACGTTACAGCAATAAAAGGAAACGACCTCTCGAAAGAGCAGGTACCGTCGGTTTTGCTAAAGAAGTTCGGCGAAACCCTAACAGGGGGAGCCTTAACATGGTATTCACAATTACTAGCACGTTCCATAATGACATTCGAAGAAATAGCCGACAAGTTCGTCACCGCCCATGCCGGGGCCATGAAAGCAGAAGCGAGAGTGAATGACATATTCGCCGTCAAACAATCACCCGGCGAAGGGCTCGGGGACTTCCTCGCCCGATTCAACAGAGTGAGAATGAGCCTGCCGAATGTATCAGAAGGGATGGCGGTAGAGGCCTTTCAAAATGGGTTAAACAAGAACGGGTCAAGGGCGACCAGAAAGTTATTAAGCAGACTTATGAAGTACCCTGCCACCACCTGGAAAGAAATCCACAACGCTTACTGTGCCCAGGTCAGGGCAGATGAAGACGACCTCAACGGTGCGACCCAATGGCTGACAACAGTCCAAATGGAATCAAGGAAAGATCGTCGGATTGACAGACGAAGAGATCACGCAGGCCCACGCCTCAATCGGGAAAGGCACCAACCGTACAACAGAGTGGCCATCCCGCTATCTCCCCGCCAAGCTGAAGGGGCATCCCGGCCACAAACGGGAACCTACCTAAACGAAAGAGGTATGCCTCCACTATTATCTGCTTACAATTTTTGTGTCTCCTTCAAAAATAGTTTACGCCTTGGAGAAGCTCGGTCCAAAGGTTATAGCCACAAAAGATGAAGTCGGACCCAAATTCTAGAAAGTCGAACGCCCTCTACGAGTTCCATCAGGAACGAGGCCACAAGCCCGAGGAATGCATAGCTCTACGGCAAGAAGTAGTGAACATGCTCCACCAAGGACACTTAAGAGAGTTGATGAGCGACCGAGGGAGAGCCAATTTTGCCCGTGGACGGGAACCATATCAAGGCCCCCCAAAGCCACCCTCCCCCGCCCGCACCATCCAAATGATCATCGGCAGAGGCGATGAAGCAACAATCAACCAGGTGAAGTTCAACACCACACACAAATTGAAGCGGTCGATCACCCATGAACGGTATGATGACCTCGATGACAGTATCATCTTTGATAAGTCATATACCCACGGTTTGACCTTTCCTCATTTTGATGCTCTTGTTATTACTTTACGAATTTCAGATACCGATGTAAAAAGAATCATGGTAGATGACGGAAGCGGCACGTGTATTATCCACCCCAGAGTTCTCACAAAAATGAGACTCGAGGATAAGATAGTGCCACGTTGCATTACACTAATAGGTTTTAACAATGCAGTTGAACGAACATCCAGAGAGATAATATTGCCCGTTCTGGCCGGGGCGTCACCCTAGAAACAACATTCCATGTCATGAACCAAGTCACAACCTACAACGCCATTATAGAACTACCCTGGATACATGCCATGAGGGCCATCCCGTCCAGTTTATATCAAGTCATCAATTCCCTACCCCATGGGGAATATTCAGAATCCGCGGTGAGCAGCGCACAGCTCAAGAATTCTACCGCATCGCCCAAGATTGCACATACACTCAATAGTTAGGAGAGGAAGGCTCAGGAGCATAGCAATTACCAAAGTCGAGGGCCGATTCTGACCAACAAACAGACGTTGTTAGAGACCCCGACATCGTGGAATCCACAGAGTCAATAGTGGAAGATCTTGATCCCGTCCAGCTGGACGAAAGCGGCCACAGCAAAAAAGCCTATATCGGCCACAAACTCACAAAACCAGGTAAATTCCATAACTTTTAACTGACAACGCCGATCTGTTTGCTTTCTCCCATGCAGATATGCCAGGTAACCCGAAAGACATTGTAACACACAAGCTAAATGTCGATCCACTCTACTCGCCGATACGACAAATAAGATGAAAGTTCAATGCGGCAATCAACGAGGCCGTCCACGAAGAGGTAGAAAAATTTGCTTGCCAACTGTTCCATTCGAGAGTCAAAATACCCCCAATGGGTCGCTAACGTGGTCATGGTAAAAAAGAAAAATGGGAAATGGCGCATGTGCGTAGACTTCACGGACCTAAACAAGGCCTACCGGAAAGACTCCTTCCCGTTGCCTCACATCGATCAACTTATCGATGCAACAGCAGGACACAATCTATTAAGCTTCTTGGACGCCTATTCAGGCTACAACCAAATCCTCATGGAGGAGGAAGACCAAGAAAAAACCACCTTTATCACCCACCAAGGGACGTACTGCTATAGAGTCATGCCATTCGGGTTGAAAAATGCACGACCTACCAAAAGCGGGTCACCAAAATGTTCAAAGAGCAACTCGGCTAAATAATGGAAGTCTATATAGAAGACATGTTAGTCAAATCCAAAAGAAAGAGGACCACATCGACCACCTAAGGGAAGCCTTCGACATACTCAGACGATACGACATGAAACTGAACCCCGAGAAGTGTGCTTTCGACGTGACCTCGGAAATGTTCCTCGACTTTTTGGTGTCGTAAAGAGGAATCAAGGTCAATCCTGACCAAGTCAAGGATATAGAGGCAATACCTGGAGTTTTGACCAATAAGAAACAAGTGCAGAAGCTAACCGGCCGTATAGCCGCCCTGTCGAGGTTCATCTCACGATCCTCTGACATATGCCACAAATTCTTCAACGTTCTCAAAAAGGACAACAGGCTCCAATGGAATTCTGAATGCGTCAATGCCCTAAGAGAACTAAAGGCATACTTGTCCTCACCCCCATTACTCGCCAAGCTAGAACCAGGCTAACGTCTCTTAATCTACCTGGCCATGTCCGACATCGTAGTAAGTGCAGTCCTGGCCCGCAAAAACAAAGGTACGCAATCTCCAATCTATTACATTAGCAAAACCCTGGTCGATGCCGAAACGAGGTAGCCCCACCTCAAAAAACTAGCCCTAGTATTAGTCGTCGCTTTATGAAAGTTGAGACCCTATTTCCTATGCCACCCCATCTCGGTGGTCACGACCTTCCCCCCAAGAAGCATCTTACATAAAACTGCGTTGTCGGGTAGACTGGCCAAGTGGGCCATCGAATTAAGCGAGCACGATATAACATATCAGCCTCGAACGGCGATAAAGTCGCAAGTACTTGCCAACTTCGTCGCCGACTTTAGCGCCAAAATACTACCTGAGACCGAGCAAGAAGCAGCTCGTACCACTCCCAAGTTTCACGACCTATAGGTCCTGTACATCGATGGTGCCTCCAATGCGGCAGGGTCCGGACTGGGACTCATGCTTGAGGTCCCAACATGCGAAGTCATTTTCCAGTCTATACGGTGTCCCGACATGACTAACAATGAGGCCGAGTATGAGGCCGTAATTGCAGGACTGAAACTAGCTCTCAAGTATGGCACGGCGAGTCATCCTCCGCTATGACTCACAACTCGTCATCAACTAAGTCACAGGGACTTTCCAAATAAAAGAACAAAGACTACAAAATATCAGACAGAAATTCATAAGCTACTTCTCGAGTTCGACGAGTGCCAAATCGACTAGGTACCCCCAGCACAAAACATCGAAGCAGATGGCCTTGCCAAATTGGCAGCGGCCACTGTCACGCCCTTTTTTCTCGCGAAATTGGGTTTCGACACGTGATAACTCTTTTAAGGAAGGGTTTTAAAGATAACTCTGTTTGACTAGTTTGCGTCACCAAAGATCGGGTAAGGGCTCGAAATTACCTCGAAGAGAAGGTGTTAGGCACTCTTCGAGTCCGCAACTGTGGGTCCCGGCTGAACTCAATTATATGAATTAGTCTAGGAGATCAAGTACAAGGAAATCAAGGAATTTGAGGAGTTTATTATTAAACACAAATAATTGATGAAAGACAAGATGGGGGGGGGGGGGTCCTAAGATTTTAGCCTAAAGGATGACCCGTGCAACATTAATAATACTTCATAACTCCTCAAGGTGGGTGTTACTCATATTATTCGGCGGGCACAGACTATCATCTCCTGCTACCCGATTACTATCTTTAAGTTGTTACCTAAAGCGCACTAGTCAATTCTAAGTTGTACCCTACGCGTGCACTACCCGTCCCATGCCTATGGTCCAGGAGGCATTTGGACCTCTATCTCAGGGTGGCTCTAGACTTTAACTTAGGCTGGTCAAAACGAAAAACACTAGGCGACATACAAAACATTTTGAACTTTCACTTATAAGCAAATAAGGGCTCAAGTTGGCCTCTGCACTTAGACAACAAATGCACGCAGAACCTGATTAACAAAGACAGTTGCAGATTTTAACAAGTCGAAGTTGCAGGAACCTATATGTCACGACCTAGATCCACTACGGGTCGTGATGGCGCTGGACACCGTTGTCAGGCAAGCCAACTAAATCACCAATTAAATTCTCTTTTTATAACTTTGAAAACCTAGGAGTTTTACTTCCATTTTTCATATATAAAACAATCTTTGTTTCAATTCAAATGAAGAAATTAACTATTAATACACATCTTCAAAGAAAATCATCCCAGAACCCGGTGTCACAAGTGCATGAGCAACTACTGATAAGAAAATAAAATACAAATGTCTGTCCGAAATACAGTGGACAGAGAATCAATAAATAAAGTACTGGAAGGGGACTACTCTAGCTGCGGGTCGTCTCGAACAATGCGGCTCACCAAGTCCCCAAATCATCCGTGCTGCTATCTAAAGTAACATATACTTGTGCAACAAAAATGCACAGAAGTGTAGTATGAGTACATAATCAACGTGTACTCAGTGAGTATCCCGCCTAACCTCGAAGAGGTAGAGACGAGATGGTCAACCTGGACACTCACTAGCGGTCCAATAATAATATATTAAATGTGTGGGGAAATCATGGATTCATATAACATATTCTAATTCACAAAGTTGTAAAACAAGTAAACACCTTTTAACAATTAACAAAGGATTTTCAAGATTTTACTTTTCTTCATTTAATCAGTTCATCTCAAGCCATGAAAGGCAATGTCATCATTTAAGATTTCTCATGCATCAATATATAAAAGATATCATGCGCAAATCATACCGAGGCGACGGCCCGATCCAACAGAAAGTAAATGTGCACTTGCCGAGGGTCGACGGCGCGCCTATAGATGCATCTATATAATCTGCCGAGGCGTTCGGCCCGTTCCAAAATAAACACACACAGATAGACAGTCAGTCAATAAGTCAACATGGAGCAATTATCCAAGAAAAGCCAACTCTCTTTAAATAATCTGAGGAAGCGAAGCTTAAGTCTTTTTAGAAATCCTTTTATAAATTTAATGTGATTTAAGCAATTCAAACCCTCCAAGGGGTTCACAATTATTCCAATTATAGCATGCTCAATCAATCAAGTAAGAACTTATCAGGGAGTGTTTATCGATATATATATCAATTCCTCTTTTAACAAATTTTTTCAAGTAAGGTTAAATCTCTTTAGAAATTCATTTACAAATTCCATGTGACACAAGCAATTTGAGCTATCCAAGAATTTACAATTAATTCAAGTATTCATGCTTTTGGGTCCTAGCTACCCGGACAATAGCAAATAGTAGCTACGCACGGACTCTCGTCACCTCGTGCGTACGTAGCCCCCACAAATAGGAGCACATAACCAATTTAACTCACCTATGGGGTAAATTCCCCCTCACAAGATTAGAAAGGAGACTCACCTCGCTCCGAAGACTCATAACCGGCATTCTACATTCTTCCGAAGGCTTGAGCCAACGCACATTGCTCCAAAACTAGCCAATTAACGACAAACTAATGAGAATACACTCAAGTACTTGTTAACAATGCAAATTATACCAATTCCCAACCCCGCTTAGTGAAATGACCAAAATGCCCTCGGGCCTATGTGCCCGGAATCCAAAATTTCTCGAAGACAAAGGTTACCCATGACCTTAGGAACTCAAATATATGATTTTCTCTTAATTCCATACTCAAAATCGTAGCTAAATTCCAAGAATATGATTTTCTAGATTTTCCACCAAAACCCCACTTTTTATACTAATTTTCACGCCTAAATCCATGTATAATTGATATATTTAACTCAAAAGCTAGTATAGATTACTTACCTCATGACAAGTGACGGAAATGGCGTCTCCAAGCTGCTCCCCATCGACTCCAATGGAAGAAAAATGGGGTNAAATTTTGCACACAAGTCATATTTGACATTACGGACCTACTCCAACTTCCGGAATTGGATTCCGACCCCGATATCAAAAAGTCAACCTCCGGTCAAACTTCTCAAAAACCTTCAAATTTCTATCTTTAGCCAAATGGCTCCAAAATGACCCACGGACCTCCGAATTCACTTCCGATCGCGCTCCCAACTCCAGAATTACCATACGGAGCTATACGCAGTCTCGAAATCCCAAAT